TAAATCTCCATTTTTTACCCATTCTTTCATTATTTATTTTTTGCATAGATTGGCGCTCTCAATACCGAGAATGAGCGGAATTCGGGAATACGACAATTGCAAGATGTATGATGTGAATTATACGGAAGTTTTGGCCAAGGGCATGCGCAAAGCTGATCCGAATTGGCCGGTAGTAGCTTGCCGACAAGGCTGGTCGTACAACTTTACCGATTATCCATACCCCACAGTGGCAACCGAACAGAATTGGGTTTGCGAGCATGACGCGCTGCCTACTTATGCTCAATCGATATTCTTTCTAGGTGCTATTGTGGGCGGCTTACTGTTCGGGTGGATCGCCGATAAATTCGGTCGTATACCCGCTTTAGTCGGCTGCAATTTGATTGGTTTTGCGGCTGGTGTCGGTACTTCGTTTACAAGAAATTTCTGGCAATTCGCCTTGATGCGCTTCTTCGTTGGATTCGCATTTGATAATTGTTTTACAATGATGTATATTCTCGGTAAGTATTAAATTTTAATTCAGCCATAAGTATAAAGTGTGATACACGCAAAGTACAAGTACTTATACGGGTTTGCTCTTTTACATACCGATTGTAATTAATATATTCTTGTATACATTAAACAAGTGCACAAGGTCTATATTTTGACGCAGGGAACTTTTCTATGTGTATGAGACAAATCAACCTATGCTAAAGCGCATGTAACATATGGAAACTTGGTATCAAACTACATTGCGTTATTCTCTCTCGCTGTGTATTATACTAAGTGGATCACATTATGTTGACCAGTGGACACATAGACCTTGAATCCAGTAGCCCATAAGATATTATATTATATTAAACAAGTCACTAATAATAACTTAATTTCTTCGCGAGTTATAGCGGACGATGAAACATCTAGATATTAGTTATTTTCGCCGTTCTGTTCATTTTATATATGTACCTATGTAAACAATTATATATATCTCGATTTAATAATAAATGATATGACGTCATAGTCGTATTACTCTATACTGCTCATAATGATGTCAATGTCAAACCCGAAAGCGAATGTATTCTGTGAAAACCCTTCTACTAAAATGTTTTAGCCATTCGAAGTCGTCTTGTATATGTCTTCATTTCTTACACAATATCACATAATGTACAATGATTTACTATTCCGTAACCATAATAGCGCCGTGCGGAAACCAAAACATACATTACAGGCTGAGCCACCAGTCTTTGTACTAAAATATCGGCCAATCTATGAGGTATCTTAACAAAAATCAGGTAGCATCTTTTGCTGGAAATAATATTTCATGATGCAAAAAAAGGATAACATCGGTTCCATACTTCTCCTAGCCTCTGTAATAGAAAGATTTTCAAACTTCCGCTTGGCTTTATACTGTATTGGTATACCGTTCAATATGTGAGATATCTTAAAATAAATAAAATGGTGGAAATAATAACCCTAGCCTTCGAATACGAAGCAAAATGTAGTAATAAAACTAAGTGAGTTTACTACATACAATATACATATGTATGTAAGTGAGTGAGATACTTTGATTGCAATCGTTTCTGTTTCTTCTAATAATGCATGAAAAAATCCTTGCTCTTTAAACACAATAAATTTGTTCAAATAATATTTACTTTCCCACTTTTTTGTTGTGAAATATTTTTTAAGAATTTGAATGGGCTATTGAGGTTTTCTTATAAATTGATAGTTAGTAAATAATTTTCTAGATTTTTTAAAACAACTTATGCACATTAAGGCACTTTAAAACTGGTAATACTAAATAATGATTACGCTTATTCATTTAAAATAAAACTTGGTATTCAAATACATAATAAATAACAATAATATATATATTTTTTTTGTACGCTCAATATTTCTGTGTAGTTCTCGAGTATGTCGGCCCTAGGTATCGGACGTTCGTCGCGAACATGTCGATCGCATTGTTTTTTACGGCCGCAGCATGCATTTTACCTTGGATAGCATATTTCATTGCAAACTGGAAGCTGTTTGCAATCGTTACATCTGCTCCCTTGATTTTAGTCGTTCTAACACCTTTCGTAATTCCAGAATCGGCAAGGTAAATTATACATACTTTCATATGTTATAATGTTCCGACTTTTTGATAACTGACGATTTAATTACAGATGGCTTGTATCACAGGGGAAAGTGGATAAAGCTGTATCTATATTAAAAAGACTTGAAAAAGTTAATGGAAAGCACGTGCCCGCAGAAACATATCACAACTTCAGCGCCAGTTGTTTAAAGTTGAAGCAGGAGGAAAACAAAAATAGCAGTTATTCAATTCTTGATCTATTTAAAACGCCCAGATTGCGACGAACCACACTTTTACTTATTGTCATTTGGATGGCAATTTCACTGGTGTTTGATGGCCATGTACGGAATGTGAGCTCCCTAGGAGTAAATGTGTTTTTCACGTTCACTGTTGCTTGCTTCACCGAGTTTCCAGCAGATTCCATACTAACAATCATACTAGACAAATGGGGACGGCGATGGTTGGCGTGCGGTTCAATGGTTGCCAGTGGTATTTTCAGTTTGTTCGCTACAGTTGTGCCAACAGGCATTTACTTCGCTTCATTCGCCATTATGGGACGCTTTTTTGTTAACATTTCATATAATATTGGCCTGCAATATGCAGCTGAGATCCTACCCACGGTTGTACGCGCTCAAGGAGTTGCTTTTATTCACATTATGGGTTATGTGGCGAGCATAATCGCACCCTTTGTTGTGTACTTGGAGAAAATCTCACCAGTTCTTCCGCTTGTAATTTTGGGTGTTCTAGGTATTATTGGGGGTCTGCTGGCTTTATTGCTGCCAGAAACCTTGAATCATGATCTACCTCAAACACTAACAGATGGTGAAGAGTTTGGACGAGGACAGAGTATTTGGGACTTTCCATGCTTAACGAAAAAGCTGGATAAACCTAGAAGCTTAGAAGAGCGCCAACAAAATTTTGTACGTTCCACACAAACGGGCGCTTCGCTTCGTTCTTCAACGCGTGGTGAACTACGATCGAGTATATTAAGGAGGTCCGTGAATTCACGATACTCATCAAAACTTTAAATTCGCTCTATTAATAATTTAAGTTATAGTATAAGAAATAATTTTCCATAAGTATAACTGAAGCAATGCTTCCTAACTATTGATCAAGAAGTTAATTGAGTCCATAAACTTGTGATATTAGTAATAATTATATGCCTAAGAATGTAAACATTGGAACAAAGATATAAAAAAATCAATAAAATATTTTAAGGTATAAGGCAAATGGCTGAGGTGATCAAATCTATCATACTTTCCGGAAGTTTTGTTAAATTACAAATTTAATATAACACATTTCAACTGTATATTTTCATTCAAACTTTTATAATGCTTGAAAATGATTATTCTTTATTAAACTATGTATATCTACTTAAATATATGTACAAAAATATTTATCGCCTCTTCCTGCCCACAGCTGCTTTTTTCCCAGGTGCACGCTGGCCACGTCCACCTTTTGGTTTCCTGCCGCCTTTGCCACCTTTTCCTTTCTTTCCTTTTTTACCTTTCTCAGTAGGGTTGGTCTCTCTCCTGTAACACAATTTAAAATTAAAAAACAAAAAAAACCAATTTATTGTACATAAAAAAAAGCACACTTACTGAAGTTTGTCTTCATTTTTTTGAATGGATATCGCTTTCTCAATATCATATTTTGGTTTCTTGTTTAATACACTCTTTATTAAATCAAGATTAACCTCTTTCTCGGGCTGGGTGCTGATATGTGACGCTTTGCGCTTCGCACCTGGTATCAGTTCTTTTACACCAATACCACGAGCCTGCTTTTCCTTCGGTAATTTATTTTGGAATTTCCCCACAGAAGCTGTAGAGGACTTAGCAACAGTAACTGCAGTGAGCAACTGTCTAGATGAAGCGACTTCTGGTCCAAAATATCCACCTCGTGGTACTTCCACTTTTTTCGCCCTAACAATATTTTTCATGCGTTGTATTTCATTCCTTGCAACTTTTTCACTACGCAAATCAATTTTCTTCTGAAACATATCTTCATTTGGATCAACATTTTTTGGTACTTCCAGTACCCATTCCTTTTCTTTTTCAGCATCCGCTCGTTTGAAACCATATGTGGGTACCCATTTCTGTGCGTTGTCAATATAATAATGATAAACACTTATATTCTAACCCAAGGAAACTTATAATCTTGCAACTTACATCGAGTGTTGTATCGTATACTTTCTTATCCTTCTTTTTCTTCTTAATACCCTTTTCTTTTGCGAATTTCTCCCATTTAGTAAGAGGTTTTGGACCAGGTACTTTCCGTAGTCGAGGCAAAACAGTAGTTGGTTCCGGCAACTTCGCCACAATACATTCGTCTATACGCTCTGTAGGTAGCTCCCAAATCGAATTAATCAGCAACTGAGTATTATCACGGGAAAGATCAAGCAAATATTTTTCCCGATTATTTCTAAAAAAAAATGTTAAATTTAGAAACTACTTTTAGATTTATTAGAAATTCCATACTTAAGTTGACTGTCTTCCAAATCGTTTGGGTCAGTGCACAGTAAAGAGCCGACATCTAAACGTACTTCCAAATGTTTATCTACGGTGATTGGTTTGTATCTCTCCAAATCACGCTGTTGTTTTTCTAACACCTCCTTTACAATATCCATATTTAATATATTTTATAGATCATTTATTTAAAATTAAACAATTTTTTGAATTTGAAAACACAAATCTATTTCTCTTTTCACAAAAAACCAAAATTATGATTGCACGTGTATGACCACGGTTGCATTGCGCATATAAACAATAAATAGTGTTGGAAAGCGTTGATTGCTATTTTATTTTCTATTACCATAAAAAAAATAAATTACCTCACAGCTGATTGGTATTATTCTATTATGATAATCGTATTGTAATATCGTCTTTTACTTTATATATTATAATCATCATATAATATTTAAATATCACTTTACTACACAAAAGCATACCGAAAACAAAACTGATGTTTTTTTCCGACATAATTGTATTCTTAAGGCCGCTGTATTTCGCTACTATTATCCCGAGTGGAAGCCCCTTATTATATGCGATAGAATAAGTAATTGTCAAAAACACCTGATGATTGCAGAAGTACAACAAAAGATTCCGGTATTCACAAGTGTAAAATATACGCTCAACAGAATGAAATAAATTTAATTAATGTATCATAAATAAATAATTCTCGTGCTCAAGTCCAAACAGTAGTATACATTTTAAGAATTGTTGAGAAATTGGATAGAACAAGAATAATGGCTTACGGTTCAAGGAAGAAAGTGCCGAAACTGCAGGGATATCACTTCTACAAACGCGAATTGTGTCTATATTTTGGAGTATATTTTGCCTACCTCATATACGGACTATGGATTCTGTTTGACTTGCGTAAAGTATTACAACAACGTTCTGGATTTACACGTGACCCTTTCAACTACGAGTTGGACATATTCAATAATTATGTCCGATCGAACTGGCATTGGTACATCGTACATGCCATAATTGCAACAGGCTCAAAGTTTTTCTTTAACCGAGACAATATCGGACTTGCATTCGCATGTGTATCAATCCCATCATTGTTGAGCACTCTTCAGTTCCGAATGAACATATTTCTTGGCACAATGCTTTTAATATTTTATTTAGTGTCATATATTGGCAATAGAAAGTTGATATGGTTCGCAACAGCCTTATGGGTAGCAGTACTTAATATTTTAGCATTAAATATCGGCAACTTTTCAGACGAACAAGACATTTTTTATACATTTAGTGTAATATTATTTTGGACTTTGTTGCGTTGTTGCAGTTTTGCACATTTTTGGGCCGATATAAAAAAGGTAGACCTTTTAAAATTGTCCACAGTGACACACTATCTAGGATACACATTATACTTTCCTACGCTTGTAAATGGTCCATTTTTGGACTATAAAAGATATATTGTTATATTAAAAAAAAAGGACGCATATACATTCTTTAATGAAGTGAAATATTTTGCTTATGAAATAGTGCGAATTTTCTTCTGGTGGCTTGTTTTAGAGCTTGGAATGCGTTACTTATTTGTACATTACATGGCTGTAGAAACAGACAAAGCGAAACTTGTGAGATCACCTTTCGGACGGCATGCAATCGGGTATTTCTTAGGTTTGTCCTTTTTCATGACGTATTTCGTAAAATATGGCTTAGGAATTGCTTCCTCCCGTTACGATGGGATGCATCCTCCAAGTAAACCACAATGCATTGGTCATGTCCATTATTATTCGAATATGTGGAAACATTTCGATCAAGGACTTTACGAATTTCTATTTGATTACATTTACCAGCCATTAGTTAATGCAAATTATTCAAAATTCGTGTCCACGGTGCTCACCTTTGCATTTGTTTTCATGTGGCATGGTTGTCAGACTGAGATTCTTATCTGGACAGTAATGAATTTCTGGTGTCTGATATTTGAGAAGTTATTGAAGCACGCTATGCGGTCAACGTTCTACAAAAGTTGCATTGAACAAAATTTGGGTAAACAACTGTCACAACGTTTTCATGCAATAATTTTTAGCCAACTTTTCATTGTGGCTGCTTTTGCGAACGTTTTCTTTATTGGTAGTCCCGAAATGGGCGTATTTTTGATATTGAATGCATACCGGAATGGTTTTGCGAATTATCTTGCATTATCATTTTGTTGCTACTGTTTCTTTCAATGCTCTGAATTAATATCTATGAAACTTTGGAAAGAAAATGTAAAATGGAAAAGAAAAGCTAAATCAAATTAGCTAGTTTGTAAAACTGTAGTTTATTAATGGCAAATTAATTAAAAATACCGATTGAAAAAAAATTGTAAACGTTTATTTTGTGCAAGTAAAATTTTTTGGTCATACAGACAAAATAATAAAAAGGTTATTTTGCTATTTATTGCGTCGAAGTGGGATGTGTAAGTCTTTAAACTTTTTGTTGGTTGTAGCTAATTGGATGTGCTTAGTGTGCTTTTACATGGGGACTCAAAAGAGTCTCATTTTTTTCAAATTTTCTTTTGGTGTCGCTCTGTGCATTCACACGGTCAAAAAGAGTCCAGCAACTCGAGTCTAGTTTTTCTGCATTCCTTTTCACAAAATTTTCGTAAATATTTGTGCGGTTCGACTGCGCAACACTGCGTGCTGCGTATTTCATTTGTATGTTGAGATGATGGTCACACATTTTGCTTGCAATGAATTACCATGAATATGGTAGAACAATATGCATAATACAAGTACCTACCCGCTAAATAGTTTCAAAGAAATACTAAAGACGGGAATTCCCTAATCCACAAGAATGTATTGAATATCCGTTACTAATATTTTCAAGGCCAAATTTATAATAGGAATTTCCTAATCTTTAAGTATTAAAAACTCATAATTTCTTTACTCCGTATTAAAAATTCTTAATTTCTTTACTCCATAATCTATATCTTAATTTTCTCCTTATTTACAATTTTTGAAAATATTTTTATTATTCTATGCATACATATTTGCATATTACATACAAAAAATAGATAACAGAATTCAAATTTGCGATCGAATTCATTTGAAACCGAGCGCTCTTGCAACCATTCAAAGGATTTGAAAGTGAAAAGGAATGCTGAAAAGGGTAGCAGCGAGCTGTTACGAACAAGAACACAAAACGTGCCACCCGAACACGAGTGGCACGGTCCCTTCGTCTTTCCTCGTCGTCCCCTCGCCCACAATAAACTGGTATGAGACTCTTTTGAGTCCCAATAATAAAATCCCAAATAATCATAAATTTTCATGTTAAAAAGCGAACATTATTAAGCGATAGATTAATATTATAAAATTAAAATAATTAAAAAAGAAAAAACCAATAACATGGAAAGATTATACTATTTTATATTTTTAATATTATACTTTTTTATATCTTATACTTTTTTTGTTGGAAATAAAATTGTAAAATAAAAAAGATCTGCTTTACAATTATATGTGATATGACCTAATGTCTATAGTCACATGGCCTCTTCTGTTTCAATTTACGTATTTGGCTGTAAATGGAAAATATTATCTTTTCAATCTTTAATAATTATTATTAAAATTTCTGCTATAAATAAAAAAAAAAATATGAAGCGTAACCTCGTTTTAGAGTTTTAAATGGAACTAATAATTTCTCTTAATCATGTTAATTTAAACATAGGATTTTTGATAATTAAAAGACATTTAAAAAACAAATAAAATTGGATATGTTTTCATACATTGCTGCGACTTTTCTAAACTGACCAGTATCAATCAGATGGCCTATATGGGTTATCAACAATATAAATTAAAAATAGTTTACCTATTGAGACACTCTATATTTTTAGTGAAGTAAACTCAGCTGGAAAATTTGACAATCATATGGCAGCAATATTTTTTGGCACCTACGCTGAACTGAGGTTTGCAAATTAGACAATAATCAAAATTAACTGGATGAAGTTGAAATGAGCTTCTTAATTCAACTCATACAAAGTTTTATACAAAAAATGCTTGCGCTTTTATCGTTTGGCCAAAAAACCATTACAAGCAGTTTAAGTATATATATTAAAACCAACACAGGACGAACTTTAGCTGTGAATTTAGAACCACAGTGGGACATAAAAAATGTTAAGGAAATTGTTGCACCGCAATTGGGTTTGCAACCCGAAGAAGTAAAAATAATCTTCGCTGGTAAGGAATTGAGTGATGCAACAACCATTCAGGTAAGTGCTCTTATTATCATACAATTCCATTTAAGTATTGGGAGTAATTTTCAGGAATGTGATTTGGGCCAGCAAAGTATATTACACGCAATACGTAGTCGTCCTCAACCACAGCGACAACGCTTACAGTTCACAGTAATGGAGGAGGAGCCCCAAGATGTTATGAACATATCTACTTCTACTGGTAGAGCAACACCTTCGCCTCCAGAAGAACCTTCCAAACCTTTATGCGAAACATTAGTAGATTTACAGCTGCTGAGCGAAGAACGCATAAATATTACTGAAGAAGGTAAATATAATAGATTGTGTCGATATCTAATCCTATAGTAATCAAAAATTGTAGATCGTCAACGTACAAAAGCTCACTTTTTTGTGCATTGTGCCCAATGCAATAAGCATTGTAAGGGGAAATTACGTGTTCGCTGCTCACTTTGTAAAGGAGGCGCATTTACGGTGCATCGTGATCCAGAATGTTGGGATGATGTATTGAAACCTCGACGCATAACTGGTCATTGTGAAAGCAAAGAAATTGCGTGCTTTGATAATGAAACGGGAGATCCGCCATATACTGAATTTTATTTTAAATGTAGTGAGCATGTCTCTGGTGGAGAGAAAGATTTCGCTGCTCCTTTAAACTTAATTAAAATTAATATTAAAGACGTACCGTGTTTGGCATGCACAGAAGTTAGGTATGTATTTATGTATATTTATGCGTCGTTATATAAGTGGTGAATAAGATTGTATATTTAGTGAAACTGTTCTTGTCTTCCCCTGTGAATCGAAACATGTTACCTGCCTAGACTGTTTTGAGCAATATTGTCGTTCACGACTGTCCGAGAGACAATTTATGCCACATCCCGATATTGGGTATACGCTACCATGTCCAGCGGGATGCGAAAGCTCTTTCATAGAGGAGATTCATCACTTTAAGCTTTTGTCGCGAGAAGAATATGCCAGATATCAGCGTTTTGCAACGGAAGAATATGTATTGCAGGCTGGCGGTGTATTGTGCCCACAACCTGGCTGTGGCATGGGGTTATTAGTGGAACCAGAATGTAAGAAAATAACCTGTCAGAATGGCTGTGGCGTAAGTTGTGTTATTGAATCATCAACAGACTTTACTTATTGTTAATTTATTTCTATTTTTATTTAAGTATGTCTTTTGTCGTAATTGTTTGCAAGGATATCATTTAGGAGACTGCTTGCCAGAAGGTACAAGCACCAACTCCAGCGGTTCTTGTGAATATTCTGTGGATCCAAATGTATGTATGCAGTGGTAACGAATAGATAATTGGAAGGGCTATGATAATCTCATTATATTATTATAGCGTGCAGCTGAAGCTCGTTGGGACGAAGCGAGCAAAGTCACGATCAAAGTCATGACTAAGCCATGTCCAAAATGTCGCACACCTACAGAGCGAGATGGCGGTTGTATGCACATGGTGTGCACACGGGCCGGCTGTGGCTTCGAATGGTGCTGGATTTGCCAAACGGAATGGACTAGGAACTGCATGGGTGCACATTGGTTTGGATAAACCTTAGGCAAGTGTGCCCACGGCCTTTATGAACATATTAAATTACTATGCTACGATTGAATACGTACGTAGTATTTGTGTAAAAAAATATATTTGAATTCGTACTCGTATAAAGTTTTATAAAAGGACTTATAAAGTTATCATTGCTTGATTTGTTAAAATCAAAATAATTAATAGGTAATAAAGTTAATAACAAAAATACCTTATCTAATGGTGAAAAATTGCGTAAAAATGGTAAGCAGCATATGTATAAGAGCTCTTAGATTAGATTAGATTAGTTTCGAGGTATGCACCGCGACCTATGGTCTATTGTGCCCTCCCCTAAGTCATATCGTGTCATCTAGGCCCAGCATGTTGATTAATTCCAAAATTCTGCTGGGTGCTAGTGAGGCGATATGATCCCTGTGTGGAAACATGGATCCCAGGGCCTTGATTCTGCGTCTGCAGACTGCTGTGTAGTTCATCAGCAGATGCTCAGGGGTTTCCGGCTCTATGTCGCAGAACCGGCAGTTTGCAGAAGAGGCTATGCCCATGTTAAAGAGGTGCTTCTTGAGCCTGCAATGGCCGGTGTAGAACGCTGCCAGTAGCCGGAATTTGTTTCTGGGGAGATTAATTATGGCTTTAAACCGCTAACCCCCAACAGCAATCTGGCATGGTGCATGCCCTGAAGTTGTTGCCAATGTATCTCCCTGCTTGCTCTTTCCTCCCTTCGGAGGAGCTCTTTGATGGTGTGTGGACCAACCGCTATGTATGGTTCCGGCCCTACCATTTTCGTAGAGGCTGCAGAGCGGGCTAACTCGTCAGCTAGCTCGTTCCCAGCTATACCCCTATGGCCCGGCACCCAAATAAGGTGTACTCGGTTTTGCTTAGATAGGCTGTTCAGCCGTTCTATACACTCCATCACTAGGAGAGGTGTGACCTCATAGGCTGAGATGCCGCCTGACTATCGCTGAGTATAGCAATACTCTTATTGCGATAGTTGCGTTGGAGGTTTATCCCCACACACCGACTTATAGCATAGACCTCGGCTTGGAAAATGCTTGGGAAACTTCCCATGGGAATGGAGAGTTTGGTGCTTGGCCCAGCGACCCCTGCACCAATCCCCTCCTCCGTTTTCGACCCGTCGGTGTAGCACTTGATGGTGCTACCCTTTAGCAGTCGGTCCAGTGAAGAGTCATTCCACTCAGATTTGCTGCCAAGGGTTACTTGAAACTTCCTACTGAAGTTTACTACTTTGGTAATGCTATCCCTTGGGAGAAGGGCTAGTGGTATTTCCTCACTTAGCTCTTTCATCTGTTGGGATGAGATTACCTTCCCTTTGCCAGCTCCCTCTGCTGTCATTTGGAGCAGAGTTCGTTTGGCAGTCTGTTTGATTACCAGGTGTAGCGGTGAAAGTTCTACGTTGACTTCCAGTGCTGCGGTCGGACACGTTCGCATTGCTCCCGACGCGCAGATGCAGGCAAGTCTTTGCAGCTTCGACAGTTTAAGTCCTACCGAAGTCTGCGATGCTTTCGAACCCCACGATACCGCTCCATACGTGATAATCGGTTTCACGATCATGGTGTACATCCTCCTGATAGTCCTTGGGGAGCACCCCCAGGATTTTCCAGCAAGTCGGTTGCACACCATGAGTGCTTTAGTAGCTTTGGTTAAGGTCTGGTTCACATGCTGATTCCATCGTAGTGTGGAATCCAGCGTGAGGCCCAGGTACTTGACCGTGCTGGCCATCTCAACCACTCTGCCGTCCAGGTATATACTCCTGAGGCCCGGCAGTGACCTCCGTCTGGTGAAGGGAATGATTGTAGTTTTAGCGGGGTTGATGCTTAAGCCAACCCCACTACACCATCCCTTTGCCAGTCCCAATCCCCTCTGCACGATATCACAGAGTGTGTCTTCAAATTTACCCCTGGCTAAGATAACAATGTCATCCGCATATCCCTGACAGCGAATTCCATTGCTAGTCAGCCGCTCAAGGAGATCGTCCACAACTAGGCTCCAAAGTAGGGGGGATAGCACTCCACCCTGTGGGCAGCCTCTTGTTGTTCCCAGACGAATTTTAGTTTCTCCTACTGCGGTTTCCGCCACCCTAGTGCGCAGTACAGCTGTAATCCATCTGCGCACTGGTGCTGACACGCTCCTTTTCTCTAGTGCTCTTGACACGCTCTCGTGAGACGTGTTGTCAAAGGCACCTTCTATGTCGAGGAAGGCGCATAACATCACCTCGCCCCCATCTAACGAATTCTGGATCTCTGAGGTTAGCTGGTACAGAGCAGTGTTTGTTGACCTGCCTGCTCTGTAAGCATGTTGCTTCTCATGAAGCGGTGAAGCCTTCAGCACCTTCGATCGTAGTTCGTGGTCTATGATCTTTTCCATACTTTTGAGTAGGAAGGAAGTAAGACTGATTGGCCTGAACGATTTCGCCAATGAGTAGTCTTTCCTCCCTACTTTGGGTATGAAGATCACCTTTGCGGTGCGCCATGGTTCTGGGATATACGCCAGCGCTAGGCTATCCCTCATCAGACGAACAAGGTGGGGCAGTAGCACCTGCTCCCCCTGTTGCAGAAAAGCTGGAAGGATACCATCCGCACCCGGTGACTTATATTTTTCAAAGGAGGCCAGCGCCCACTTGATGGAGTCTGCAGTGAAGAGCTGTTTTGCGACTGTCCAGTCCAAGCGTGACGGCCTTCGTTCGACCAGCTCGTAGCTCTTTCTTCTGCGCTGGACGTATAGGTCCCATCAGATCGTTTAATCGCTAGTGCTGTGTCCGTCTTGCCTCTAGCCAGAGCCTTATGCAGTCTAGCTGCCTCTGGCGTTGAGGAGACGCTCTCACAGAACTTCCTAAAGCTCTTCCGTTTCGCGGTCCTAATCTCCTTATTATAAGCAGTTAGGCTGCATCTGTAATCCTCCCAGTTTCCGGTGCGCTTAGCCTTAGTGAATAGCTTGCGCACCGTTTTTCTTAGTACTGAGAGTTTACTAGACCACCAGGAGCATTTACCGCCCTTGGCGGTTGTCTTTAGGGGGCAGCTGCTATGATAAGCTTCTATAATGGATTGGTTTAGGGCAGACAGTCTGCTCTCCAATCCAGAAGCCGTTGCGCTTCTATCCAGCTGCTCCCTACTGCTAATTCTTGTTCCAAGCGATTCCCTAAAAACGGCCCAGTCCGTGTTCCCAGGGATACGTTTGGGAGGGAGTTGCTTGACCCCCATCCCCAGCACGAATCTTATGATACGGTGATCCGACATGGAGGGTTCCGATGATACCCTCCATTGTGAGATCAGCCCTACCTCAGACTCGTTACTGAGCGTGTTGTCAAGCACCTCCCTTCTGACACTAGTTACAAAGGTGGGTTCGCACCCCACGTTTGCTATACTTAAATTCTTACTGACTATAAACTCGATAAGAGACTCACCCCGTGTGTTGCAGTCCGTGCTGCCCCATTCGGTGTGGTGGGCATTCGCGTCGCAGCCCATGATGAGGGGCAGCTTATTCCTCCTGCAATACTCCACCAGGTTGCCGACTGCCTCTGGGGGTGCTGTCGGAGTCTCCCCCGGAAAATAGGCCGCTGCCACGACGAAGTCCGCTCCTTCGTCGTTCCTCGCTTGCACAGCGACCAGGTCCTGAGTTAGGAACTCTGAAATACAGAAGAAGTCAATACCGTTCCTAAGTACTATGCAGGTTCTAGGTCTCTCACTTGAGAGATCCCAGATTACCGACGCCGCGTGATGCAGGTTCACCTGGGCAACTTCTAAGCGCGGCCCCACTACAGGATCGGCTCCATGAGGAGTTGATCCTCATGCTCACCGTCCTCCGCGATGTCTCCCGCCAGGTTTGTGAGCCCCTCCAGAAGCTCCTGAGTGGAGGGTAGCACCCCTCCTTGCTCGCCCGTCTTCTCGGAAGGGACCTTCGCCGTTGTCTCAGCAGTTGCCGCCTGCTTTGACGTACTTGCGCAGGGTTGAGTCGCAACCTCATCCACCTGCATTTCCTTTCTCGCATCGCCCTCGGTGATCGTTTTTGGCTTGAACGGCCTCAGGACCACCGAGCTGAACCTATAGTTCAGGCGGAAGCTCACCTCCTGACGAATTTGTATGATTCGTCATCAATGCAGAGGTTGAGCTTCCATCCTGAGTCCTCCGCTATGCTCTTGGTCACCCGCCAGGCCGATGTATCGAGGCCATCGTTCTGATTGCGAATGAGTCCTAAAGCAAACTCGTAAAACCTTCCTGCGCATCTGGGGAGGAAGACCGTCATGCTGTGCATTGGCCGAATTTCGTCCCCCTTTTTTGCGCAGAGGATGGGGCCGTTCCAGCCTGTTAGCTTGGGAGCGATCTCCCTCAGCCAACAAGCCGACCTCTCATCCTTGCAGTCAACCTGCAGCATGCCTCCCTTGAAATATACCCCATGGAAGGAGGCCTTGTATCCAGACCCTGTGAATACCTCCTCCATGAGTAAGTCTTGCAGCGATGTGAGCTCCTCCGCACCCAGCGCCTCCGCCGGATAGTTCAGCGGCAGCACAGCCATGCGAATGCCTTTGAGGGCGTCCGCATACCTGCGCTGTCCTTCCACTGGCCGGGGGGGGTTTGGGGCGGAGCGGTGGCCACTAGTCGCCTGTGCGTTTTTGCCCCTCTGCCGCTTGGTGTTGTTCGGCTCCTGTGGCGTCAGCTGTCCGCTTTTACGCTTAGCCGCTTGGGTGGTCGAGGGAGCTGCCCTTTCGCAACCTCGGCCTGCGGGCTGAGTTGCGTTTACTGGGCAGTGGCCTCGATTGTTGCCATTACGCTTCCTAATGGCCGCAGTATTACCACCCTTTTGTTTTTCGGAAGCCGGGGAAGTGCTGTCACCTCTCACCCTGTTCCGCGCTAGGCTTTCTGCTACCTCCGGAGTTCTTCCCTCCTGGAGGTGCCTCAGGTACCACTTCAGGCTGGCACCGCTCATACCCTTTCTTCTGGGATCGTCCTGTCCTCCCGGACATCCCGTTGGTGGCAGGGGGGTAGTCTGCCTCCCCTCTTCCTTTTTCGTTTTTGAGCCCCACCGGAGGTCGCCCGTTGCGACTCCTCTGCATCCGAGCAGTTGCTCCTGCTCGAGAGAGTCTCCGTGGGGTTCTCTTTTTCTTTTACCGCAGCGGCCGCAGTCGAAATCGCCTGCTGAACGCCGCTGCACGAGGGCATGTCATCGTCGTCGTCCCTGGCATGCTCCTCGAACAGC